ATATTTATAATTTCAAATTCAATACAGTCTAATTAATATGGTAGACATTTATTACCAAAATACTCAAACCCACTTAGATAAAATTGTAATAGCATTGTATTGAACAAAGTGAATTGTGATTTTAATAATATAATAATAAAAAACAACAGAAGGAAATATATATAGTTAGCATTAAATATGATAAATTATTTAAAAACAATTTCAATAATTTCAGTTTCAAATAATGATAAAAAGTATAGAACAAATAGGTAAATAGAAAAAAGAAAATATTTAAACAACTTGAAAAATAGGAGGTGCATAGATTCCTTAACTTAGGTATTTGTCATTTTTAAATGTTAAAATTTAAACAAAATATATGTGTATAATAATAAATAGATATTTTGTAGGRAGGTAAATATTAGTCCTTACTCTATTTTGACATAATGTCATAATAGATAAKTAAATATGTATATTATAACCTATACATATTCATAGAAATAGAATATAAAAATCTGGTGAAGTAAAATATAACTAAAGAAATGTTTATTCAATAAATCAAATATTAACAATAGTACTTGTATGCTGTTTTGCTGTGTAAATACAATGTTAATTTTTTTGAGGAGGATTGATAAAGGCTAATAGTTGTATCATAAAATATTATTTTCTAATTTTTAAATATATGTTTAAATACATAAATGGATAGCAAAACAATTTATTACGCACACATGCATATTCATTATTCCCACGAAAATAATACTACAAATGAATAACATACCGTTAATATAATAATTTTCCGTCGAGCAGTATATAATATGTGTATCGTGTAGGTACTAGGTAATGCCAGACTAGAGGTCAACAAACTACCATAATTATTTATTGTCTGAGAGACAATTCGATCGACAAAACTCGGGGGGCTTTGTTAACACGACGAACGTTTCCGGATCGCGGCTGTAAAGATTCGCGATCTCGCAATACCGACCGATTCAAAATCCGGAATCGTTATTGAGAAACATTATTGAAACGCCTACTAATTTGAATGCTAAAAAAATAATAACTAAACATCAACAAATAACAATTATGAGTTATCACGATCGAAATGTGATAACAATTATCGAGAAGAATCAGCCGCCGCAGCAATAAAAATATTGACTCGTACCATGAAGATAACATTATTGACTTGGACGTGGGTTAAAGTTAAAATATGAAAAAGAGATTATAGAACTTCGATGCACTGYTGGCTGCTGCAGCTACTGAGCAAGTTAGTTAGATATTGTTGTTTTATGGTTAAAAAATGCATTAAACAAACTACAAGAAACAATGCAACATGGTATACGCTTATAAGAACACTGTTTCGATTCGTATCCGCGCACTTGGCACATATCATTAACAATTCGTTAGTTTATATTAATTTCAACTTTTTGTTTTATTATTATGGGCTTTATGGAATATTTAGCTCTACGTCACGTGTCCACCAAGGCACCAAAAGTTCTGTCCATCAAAAAGTTATGCTTATGATCATACCGTTTGCTTCTATGTTGATACCGTGTTGTTAATAATATCATAGTTTATGGTAATTTAGTATATATAAATTATATCATCTATGTAATTATGTCTAATGAGTAATGGACAATGGTTATAACTGTTATGTAACTCCTGAGTTATGGGATAATTTCTATTTTGACGATTTATTAAAGTTTGAAACTTCAAATAATCCAAGCTCCAAAGTTGTACTTATTGTAGGACGCATCACATAGGTATTTTCCACTTCGTAGAAACTTTCTATATAGCAGGTACAGTTAAGTTTATTTCATATCAATGGATACAATTTATTTTATATTTTAATTTTTATCAATTGAAACACCTTCATTGGTTGTTTTTAATTTTATCGTCTAGTTTTGAATAATAATAATAGGTCACTATTGAAGACTTTTATATCAATTTAAACCTGATAGAACTTGCCTATCATAATTCTTTGGGTAATATTAAGGCTCTATAGTGCCCTAGTAGTACTAAATAATATTTTTTTTGTGCATTTTTGTTTATATTACAGGTTTGAGGTCATTAAATTATGGCGGATGTCAAAAGCCATTTTTATGGTTCTGTAAGAGTTGGACAAAAAGTTAGTGTTGGGACATTTGATGGGTTTGCTCGATATGTTGGTCCAATTCCTGGAACAGATTCCATATGGGTGGGAGTTGAATGGGACGATTCTAACAGAGGTAAACATGATGGAATTCATAACGGTATCAGATATTTTAAAACATTGTAAGCATATACATAATATACAGCTACTGTACCTTGTTTTAAAATAAATTGACTAAAATGTTGTGTACATTATAGACATCCTAATGGAGCATCATTTGTACATCTAGAAAAAGTGATACCTCACAATGTTAGTTTTATAAAAGCTTTTCAAAGTAAATATGGCCAAAGTTGTGGTAATAATATTCAACAGGAGATAAATGCATTGATGAAACAGTCTAAAATGGCATCTTTTGAACTTGTTGGAATGCAAAAAATTCAGAAAACACAAGCGTATGTCTTTCATCTTTTTACCTGCTAAAAGTTATTCATTTTATCACTCATGTAAAATTTCTCACTTTTTAGATGTTTTGATAAGTTAACTCATGTGTGTCTAAGTCATCATGGTATAACAGATGCTGGTGATCCAAAAGAAATACAAGATTGCTGTCCAAATATTGTGAATTTAGAACTTTGTAATAATTGTTTTACCGATTGGGAAACTGTATCAAAAATAGCTCAACAATTAAAACATTTAACATCTTTGAATTTAAGGTAAACTACCTGATTATTAATTAATAATATTAATTTCAAAAAATTMAGCCTGATATAATGTATTTTTAGCTTTAATAATATAGATTTACCTCAAGAACCAAATCAGCAATTAAAGGAATCTTTTAAATGCTTAAAGAAAATTGTTTTAGGTAAACTCAATTATAACTGGAATGAAATCATGTCTTTGTGTGAGTCATTTCCAGTACTTGAAGTATTAGAGGTATACATCCAGAGTTAACTAGAAAGAAAATTGTATTGTCAAGAGGGTGGTACACCCATATGTGTTGTCTCTGTCTTATCTTACAGATGTAAAACAGTAAAAACAGTTTTGCTCAGAAAAGAACTAAGAATGCTATTGTCATAAACTCATAACTAAAAAACAACATTTTCGCCATTTATAAAAGAAAACTTGTGCTGTAAATTATTGTTTTATTTTCTCAATATTAGAACTAAAAAAAAAAGTCGTTCAAGTTTAAAAAACAAAAACATAATAGATTTTGAAACAATAAAAACTTTTTTCATATGAGTGGTTTTATCGTACACATAACAATCTTTGCTTTGTAAACATTTGTAAGTCAGAGACAACATGCAAGTGTAGTGTCATCTTAACACAATTTTCACTAAAATCTTTTTAGGTCCCAGATAACAATATAGATAGACTTGAAACACATTCAGAAGCCATGAAAAATATTTTGTACTTAAACCTGGAAAATAATAATTTATCATGGCCAGAAATCAATAAATTACGATCTCTACCAAAGTAATAACTAATACCTATCAATCATCATTAAAATAATATAATTAAGTATTCTAGTAACTGTTGTAAAAACTTTAAATTATCAGATTACAAACTTTAAATGTCAATAGAAATGGAATAAAAGACATTCAAATTTTACCGTCATCTTTCCCTTCACTTGAATTTCTGATGATCAGTGATAATGACTTATTACATGTAAGACAGCTGTTATTGATGTTTATGATCATTGWCATTTCTTAAATTAATATTATTTTTGAATTCCAGTTTGAATCATTGTGTGAGCTTAATAAATTACCAGCATTATGTTCTTTAAGAATTCAAAATAATCCTCTACTTAAAGGAATGAGTGTTAGCAATTACACTTTACAAATAATAGCAAGAATTTCCAATTTAAAGGTAAACTAATATATAAATCTTTATTTAACTAGATTATAAATTTAAATGAATAATTCATTTAGACATTAAATGGAACCATGATAACTCTTAAAGAACGACAAAATAATGAAAGAGATTTCTTAAAGGATTTGGATATGATATGGCATAGACAGTTAAAAAGTGCAGAAGAAAGAGCTGAATTTTTGACTAAACACCCACGATATATGGAACTCATTGCTAGTAAATAATTAATTATTATTTTATTTCATAACTAATGTGTTTAATACTATTCAAATTTAGAATATGGTTCTGATTACTCGGAAGACCTGAACACATCAAACAAAATAAAAACAATAAAAATAAGAATTGTGAACTTTTGCAAAGAGACAAGTACAGAAAAGGATGTAATAATTAAAACACTTCCGATTACTATGACACTTAATCGTTTAAAAGATCTTGGAAAACGATTATTTGGTCTAGGCAACAAACAACTTGAATTTTCTTATCTAACAAAAGAGGTAAATTTCTATTGTAGTAAAATAAAAACATTTTAAGTAATATTATTTTTATGAGTTATAATAACTTCACCCTTTATTCTCAACTATATGGTGTCAGCTACATTAATTTTAAAACCCATAAAGAATAGTGGTAGCCTCATGGCAGTCTGATCACTACTCCATTGTTATTAGTCAACATTTTTTTTTAAATTTGAATGTTTATAACATTTTGTCTAAGTTATGGAAGTTCTTGTTCATAAAATTAGCTTTTAATGTATATCGCAAGGGTCAGTTTCATAGTGGAATTTTTTGTCTTAAATTGGTATTTGTAAAATTCAATTTATTGTTCTTTTTATACTTTAAGATTATTAAAACTGGTGTTTTTCGKCTGTCACTCGTCAACATCTTAGATTCACCTTTAACTTAACATTTCGATTATTGCTTTTGTCCCTCTCCTTTTTTGAGTATTAGGTAAATCATTAAATTAATAAAATCAATTAAACCTCATACTTTTGTTGAAAGTAGATATGAAATTTTTATAGAACTCAAAAATGTTTACTACCTAACGAATACCTTGTCATATCACAAATTTGAAGTTGTAATTTTTCATTGTTTGATTGCAATTCAGCTACTATTTATTTCAAGATCACATTGTAATGTTGTATTTATGTTAAAATAATAGCATCAACTATTATATTTTGCACCATCTATTTTCGTAATTGTGATATTCAGTCAGTTGAGTGTAATCCACTTAAATGTATTTGATTATAAAAACTTACCATCTATCTGAGAGATAGTGGTTGCAAACARTGCAAACCATCGTTAATTACCATGTTAATACTTATCAAAACAAAATAACTGAATCAACACTAATTTACAAACTACAAAAGTTAAACACGTGTGTTACTTGTTTAGTATCTAAAAAGCAACTACATTTAATTTGAATATGTATAAATTGTCTGGTGTCAATTTCAGGCATGTAAAGTAGATCAATAACTTTAACTATCTTCTTAACCAAATATACAATATTGCTAATAATACAATTCAATTATACTTAAATTTTACTAATTTTTAGAAACCAGATATTGAATATTCCATGGAAAACATGAATCAAACATTAGACTATTATTCTGTTGAAGATGGAAACACAGTATTAATTAAATGGTAAAAATAATAATGCGCTCTAAATTTTTAATTGTTAATCTATTAATTGTCTTTTTAAATATTTTATTTTGTACTTTTAACAATATTATGTTATTACTTTGTTTATCAAATAAAAAAAATATATATATAAAATGAATAGAAAAAAAATGATTAATTTTTATATTTTTATTATTTCATATTTGTGATATTTAAAGGTGTTACAGTATTATGCAGTCTAGAAATGGCAGCTTGTACCATTCGTTGCAAAACCTCATCTTCACAAGTTACTTCCTATATATAAAAAAAAAACATCATAATTAAAATCAATACCAAATAACATTATACACAAACATACCAAATTTTTTAAATTAATATTAGCTTTTTTCCCATCAACAGCTACAAACAATTTTTCACCTTTAAATATTTTTGGTACAGATTCCTCGCCAAACATTTCTTGTAAGATTTCAATCAAACATTCCTATAAAATAGATAATTTAATATTACTTTGTATAAAAACATTCAATTAACAACTTTTTACCTTGAAATGCATATGGTCATACTCGGTAAATGGAACCGATGCCACATTTTTCATATCTCCGTGACTCATTGACTGAATCTTCATCAAAACTTGTACAACAATATCTGCATACATATCATTTTCAGGTGTAGTAGTCCATTCCAAAGTAGCAAAGTTTTTATCCACAGACACATCCACTGAATTTAATACTCTTAACTTTTTGTTGGGAATAACTATTTCAGGTACACTGCCAGTCAAATGTGACAACATATTTTGTAATACAGTAAATGATGATGTAAATCTGTGAAGTTGTTTTTGTTGGATTTCACTCAATAACATATCGGAATATCCTGAAAATGTAGAAATTATAATTCATAATTAATGAGTGAAGATAAAATTATTAATAATTAAGTGTGACTTTATATTGATGCCTACTAATTTGATTTTAGATTAAGGGGATACACATGCGCGTTATAGGATTTTAACCGTATTTTTTGCCAAACATACCRATGGAAATAGTGAAGCAACAAGAATTATAAAAACAGATTTGAATTTGTAGTCAAGACTACTTGAGATCAACTTTTCAGCATTTTCGATATTGTCTTCCAAATTTCAATTAATGTTATGTTATATTAAAAAATTGTCGTTTTTAAAGTTTTTTGTTGAAGTTAAAATCAAAAATGCAGGAAAGTCAATTTCAAGTAGATTTGATGACAAATTCAAATCTGTTTTTATAATTCTTATCGCTTCACTATAGCTATCGCTATACTATACTATAGCTAGTACGTTTGGCAAAAAATACGGCTAAAGTGCTAGACAATGACAGAAAATCACGGTATTGATTCCCCTTAACATACTTATTTAAAAATAAAAATGTCCAAGCATATAGATATATTTTCAACCCAGTTATGAACTTTCAACACTTGTAAGAATTTTTCAGTTATACATTTTCCATTTAATATAGTATTCTTTACATTACTTAATTAATAGTTTTATATATAAGAAATATAAATAATATGGAATGAATAATGATACCCTTCAGATAAAGGTTTCACAGACAATTAATTAATCACACTGGTCCAAATATATTTAACAGCACGTTTTGAAAAATCTTTTAATAAGTGTATTAATTATGAAATAGTTGATTTTATTGATCTTTTAGAATGTATTTCATGTCAATGTTCTTATATTTGTCATCAATGTTGCTTATACTTATTTACATCAAAAAAGTTATAATTTATTCACTAAAATTTAGGTATCTGACAGGTTAAGTAATGAAAACAGAGAACAAAGCATCTACTGTACTAAAAAAATATATTTAATGATAACTATACACAATTTACACTTGTTTGATGTCCTACCACTGAAAATTCAATRAATTATACAAAATGATGTATACTAACTCATGATAATATAACAAAATCCAATTCATTATTTAAGGAAGAATTGAATTAAATTTTTTTCTATAAATAGATTATGTACTAGATTTTTATAGATGGATATCGCGACCCAGAAAAATTATTCATATTGTTTAAATGTTTAGATTAAGACTGTTAGATGGCAGATTGATATATTGTAAACAGTGAGGTTGAAGGTCAAGTACCTAATCAATMATTTATTTGTGCAAAAAGAATAAAAMCATATTTTTGATAATAATCTTACTTGGWATATCTTCAGAAGCAAAAATATGATAGCTAAAATTTTTTTTTAATAGAACACCACTCAAAACATTATCTTCTGCTGGTTTTTCAACTGCTATTTCTCCCATTACCTAAACAYAAAATAATTTTTWAAATAAATTAATAGAATGATTATTATATCACGTTTAAGTATGAATTTAACAATTACATACTTTAGCAGTTTTTTCCCCAGTAAAATAAAAATCAACTCCTACTGTATTCCGAGGGTTATAGACTTTAATATCTTCAGAATTTTCTTCATATTCTCTAACTAAAGCAGATTTCAACCTTTGCATTTCATTTTGTTCCCCATGTACCAATACCTATGTATTAAAAATAATATGTCACATATAAATTTCTTCAAATACTTTTGTTTTATTAATTATTTAAGATACTCACAATATGGGGTGGTTTTAAAATGTTTATAAATTCTCGTGTTTGCTGATAATCCGTATGTGCTGAAAATGATATATAATCAACAGACATTTTCAATGGTAACTTTTGACCAGTCATAGTTGTGATATCTTCAGGTTCAGATAAAATAGCTTTAGCAAGTGTTCCTTGCACCACATAACCTAAAATATTWTTAATAAATAAAATATTTATTATAACATAAATTATTTATTTTTGTTTTACCAGCAATTATAACTCCATTTTTACTATCTGTACACCACATTTCAAAAAGCTCTCGAGAAAGACCACTCTCCATGACACCTGGTGATGCCATTATTACACAAGGACCAATATCTTCAAAATGATCAATGCTCTAAAATATAAATATGTATTATTAATAATTTTTTTTAAATAATAATAATGAATTTAATCATTTGATTGGATTTTGACAAAAATAATAAAAGAGAGTAGTGCTTTGATAATTGTCATTCCTAACTACTAAATACTTTTTTAATTTAAATAACATAATTTAGGGAAATATAAACTTTTTATTGTAATTTCATTGTTAAATGATAATTAAAATTTTTAAACTATTTATGAATATTAAATAACAGCATACTTTAAGGTTAGTAATATGTTTAAAAACAAATGGATTGTTAACAGCAATTTGACGTTTTATACGATCATTCATAGCATTAATATAGGTCTGGTACACAGCCATACATTTTTTAGCCAACGATGACGCATAATATATAGGAATATCGTGAAGTTCTGGGTGAAGGCCCCAATATTCATCTTAAAAATTTAAATAAAAACATGAATAAATAATAACATTGAAATTTTTTATAGTAAAATAATGCATCCTCTCACCTAAGATTAACAACAATTCTTGAGCTCGTCCTAAYGCAAAAACTGGAATCAAACATCTTCCACCTCGATTGACAATATCATTGACAAGCATAGTAAATCGTCGTTCACGTTCTTCACGCTTTTCATGTATATGAGTTCCATAAGTAGATTCCTAAGTAACATCAATAACTTTAAATTTGTAAATTTATATTTAAAAACAACATTTACAGTAATGAGTATTTCTGGCCTWGAAGGTGGTATTTCAGCAGCCATTAGATGCCTATCTTCTTGTCTTGAAAAGTCTCCAGTATACAAAACTTTAACACCAGCAATTTCAATCATAAACATTGCAGCTCCCAACACATGGCCTGCATTATAAGCACAAAAACGAATACCACCAACATCCTTTTCTTCATGAAAATTWATCGTTTCTATACGATCCATGCTCTTTTCTAAATCAGCTTCAGTGTAAAGCATCTGTTCAGTTCCTATATTACTGAATTATAAAAATTTTCAATAAATCAGAACATAAAATAATTTGTTTTAAAAAGTTTGCACATAAAGATAACTTAATTGAATGTCATGAACAAACAAAACAAGTAAAATTTCAAGTTCTTAAAAACTAATACCAACYCAGTTTATCATAATGCAGAATAATTGAAAAAAAATAGATATGGTTAGAGCTGCCACCTCACTGGATTTTACCTAGATACTCCAGTTTCACGTATAAAACTAAGGGCTATGGATTTAGTARATTACTCAGAGTCGTAAAATTATTACTAAGTACATTGACTATTTCTTGCATTTCATTACCCACCTTTTTACACCTCATAAACTCATAACATGAATATTAAGCGTATAGATAGTGTCTAGTCAACAGCCTATGGAGATGTCTTGGTGATCACTTATTTTTGTTTTTGCTTATTGATCCTGCAATTTTTCAAAGATGGCAGCTCTATTTATGAATTAAAAGCCTTTAATATCTAAAATACAAAAATATCTTTGTAAAAAATAAATTACCTGACTTTAATATAATCTGACAGTAACCATCTATAAATAGCTTTAGTTGCATGAGTCATATAACATTTTCCTTTGAATTTAGTCTTGAGTAAAAACCATGGTAATGCTCCACTGTGGTCCAAATGAAAACTGTTGAAAATAATGAAAATTCATATTAATTAGAATTGATTGCGCATACATTATAGTTTTTTTTATATAACTGTCGATTTTATTTTTATTTACTGAGTAATTAAAAGTAAATCAATTTCATTCGCTTCAATCAGATCCACAAATGGCAATGCATCTAAACCTTGAAGGCCTGGATGAATTCCACAATCAAGCTAAGAAATAAAACAATTAAGTTAGATAAAAATTTAAACTCATTAATAGAACTTAAAACTTGCCATAATTTTTTTGCCTTTGAACTCCATAACAATACATGATCTACCAACCTCTTGTCCAGCGCCTCTAAAATATAAAATTAAACAAACAATTAAAATTKTATATCATAACATAAAGTATAATGTATCTTATAAATGCTATAACAAATGAAACACCATTATTACGTATAATTATTGTAATCATTTA